GTAGATTCTGAAATTGTGCATGTCCTAGTTTCCTCCTTCTTGCAACCCAGATTAAATCCATCAGGAAGTGCTGCAAAGTTCATCTTTAATTATATCCAGAATCCAATCACTTCCCATAATTCTCATGCTCACACCCCAGACAGGCAGCGGCCTCTCCAGCCTGGAGCCCTGCACTGGTTTCCTACAGTTTTCCCGACTGCTCATCTCCCTTCGCTTTTCGTTTCTGCACAGCAGCCAGGCTGAAGCTTTTAAGTCATACAAGGTCAATCTTCTGGTCAAAATTGTCTCTAACTCCACATCTTACTCAGAGAAAAGTCAAGGCCCTGCTAATACCCTAAGGCCCACATGATGTGGCCGGATACAGGACTCGTCTCAGTTGCTCTCTGCTGCAGCACAGTGGCCTCCTCGCCCTTCCTTGACACAAGACACACTCCTGTCCCAGACCATTTGCAATGGAGGTTCCCTGCCTGGGAAGAACTTGCCCCAGATATCCTCATGGGCATTCCATTATCCTTCAAATCTTCACTTACAGGTCACATTCCCAGTAAGGCTCACACTGACCACCCTAAAACAATAGCCATCTTCCCTCTCCCCATACTTATATTATGGGCCACCTGCCTCAAATCACTTAACCAGCTTCTAATATAAACATTGCTCCTATTTTATGTTTATTGATATACTCTACTCCTTCCTGCAAGAACATGGGCTACACACAACTTGCAGTTTTACTTTGAGGTACCCTATTATGTGTGTGTCAGTATGTGTATGTACTATTATCTGGCACATAACAAATAGTTGAATGAATGGTCCATGTAGAGCACCTCCCTAAATCAAGAAATATCTTTACTAAATGTGACTGCAGATCACAGCTGTTTGGTGGCAGATACGGCACAACGTCCACTTACACTGACCTCAGTGCCGCCTGTGCTTTCCTCACCAGTGTTGCTCCCCACTTGCACCATCTCCTCCCCTCACACCAACCCTCCTGCACAGCCCAGCAGTTATAGTTTGGTGTTTAGAAAAGATGTACCTTAGCCCATGGGTCCTATTTTCCCACCAAATATAAATCTAAATTAGCCTCTACAACCCTGAGTTTGGATCAGAAGCAGCACAAGGAATCACTAGACATAAGGCAGCGAAGATAGGAACTTGCCTGGTCCCAAAGGGGCTCAGGGACCACCCCCTCCATACTTACTTACAATTTAATAAGAATGACACACTTAGAATCTGATCCCTCCTCTAATTAAAAAAGGTGGGGGAAAGATAGAAAATTCCATAAAGAAGCCCTAGAAGGAGGGAAAGAATGATTGATCTCAATATTCACTTTCTGATACTCTAGAGTATCCTGCGCACAGGGGTCGTCCTGAGATTTGTGGGGACAATGACAGGCCAAATGACTCCTTGCTGTCAGGGATGGGGGCACCATCCAGAGGAAAATAAGACATGAACTCGTACACAAAACAAGAACAGGCACAATTCTCTACAGAAACAAAGACAAAATGAATAAACACTCAAAACATGGGGGCTGAGGGTGGGACCCAGGCCATGCTCTTGCCTGACTTGGTGACACAAAGCCCTCCTGCTCATGGTCGGGGACACAGGGCAAGGCCTGGATGATGTCTGAATCCTTGTGATCACAGGTCCTGTTGGGACAAAGTTCTACTTAAAGGACAAAGGCAAAGGAGCAGAGATGACCCAGCTGAGGAGGGACGTCAGATCCCATGATGCACTGAGCCCACAGGGCACAGGCCCAGTCCATGTTGGGCTCCCTGCGGCCTCTCCTGTCCACACTCACAACAGACTCAATGCAGCAAACACACGGATTTTGGACTCAGTGCTTCCATTTGTTTCTTCTCTCAATATCAGCAATCTTCTCCTTTATTACCCCATCAACCCCTTGATAACTAGTAGAAAAAACAAATGCATACCATATTCTCATTTTCCCTAAGGAAGGTAGACATCACTACTCAGCCCAACATGATGCGAAAGCAAGGCCCAGCCCTGCCTCTGCTGGAACAGGACAGTCCATCAGGGAAGAGAACCCAGTCTGTGTGGGGAGGCAGGGGGGCCAGTCTTCCCACCTCCCCACATTATGCCAATAGGAACACAGACCCATTCAGATGCTCTTCGCAGAAAGAGGCAGGGGATCTCGATGTCACACAGAGGAACACAAACAAATCTTGCATTACCCAGTCCCCACAAGGCAGCCACCTCACACTGTGAGAGAACGAACAAATTCAGGGCAGTCACCTATGGGAGACATTCTCCTAGCCCACCCCATGCTCACACTGTCCCACTCAGAGTCCCCATCACCCAGTGTGTCTCCTCTGCCCCAACCCCTCCCACCTCAGATCTCCAGGGTCTCACCTTTAGCAGCCGTGAGAGACACATCAGAGCCCTGGTCGCTGTCCCCACCTGGTGTGGGACAGAACAGGACGAGATCAGAGCCCATGGGAGATGACAGTAAAGGAGGCATTATGGGGACTGTGAGCTCCCCAATGGGCTCCCATCTACACCCCCAAGGGGCTCAGGGACCACCCCCTCCATACTTACTTGCAGCCTGAACATAGCTCCCTCCTTTTCCTCCTGTGGGAAGAAAACACCCTGTGAGAGGCAGGGAGGAGGCAGGGCCATGAGGGCCTAGTGGGACTTGATAGCCCTGGACCACAGGGAAGTTTCCAGAACTGCTACTACAGACCCAGGAAAGGATCAGGAAACAGGGAGAAAGGAGGTGTGGTGGGGACTGGACCACCTGCCCTTCTAGAGTCTGTCCTCAGCAGGGACCTTCCCTCTCACCTTGGACTGCTGGGAATCCTGTCCCCATCACCAGATTTGTGAAGGGAAAAAATCTGTCCTTCATTTTCACATGTGCTTTACAGGAGCCAGTGTCAGCCCTCAGCTCCAGGCTGGGCAAGCACAGGGGTGTGGATGGCATTTTCCCACTAACAGGCAGGACAAACTTCCACCCAGGGCTTGAGCCCCCCAGTGGGCCAGGAGCACTCAGAAACACCCCCCTTCCCTACCTGAGCGCTTCTTCCTCCACATCACAGCTCCAGCCCAGGCCGGTAATGAGGCCCACGAGGGAGATGGTGGGCTGAGGTGGCTCTGGGGAGGGAAGGGAAGGTGAAGGCCTGACCTCAGGCTTGAGTCCTGACTTTGCTGAAGTCTCCACAGGGCTCTGCTCCCTGAGAAGGGCTCCACCCCTCATCCCTCCTCACCCCATCTCAGGGTGACGGGCTCAGGCAGCCCCTCATGCTGCACGTGGCATGTGTATCTCTGCTCCTCCCCAGAAGGCACCACCACAGCCGCCCACTTCTGGAAGGTTCCGTCCCCTGAAGGCCTGGTCTCCACAACCTCTGTGTCCTGGGTCAGGTCTTCCCCATCACGCAGCCAGGTCAGGGTGATCTCCGCAGGGTAGAAGCCCAGGGCCCAGCACCTCAGGGTGACCTCACCATCAGAGAAGGGGTGGTGGCTCACGTGTCTTTCGGGGGTTCTAAAGAGGAAGAATAAGAAAATTCACACTTTATTCTCTCTTCATGGGCTACTGCAACCACATTCCTGTGACCACCCTGAGGATAGACAGGACAACTGGTTACTATGGAAGGAAGCATAGCAGCCAGGACTCAGGGATCTGGGATAATCTACTAGTCCTTGAGAAGTTCTAAAATGGCGGTTAGAGACCAGGTTGGAGGGTCGGGGTCTGTAAGTAGGAAAACACACTAATAGTCCTGATAGGGGTGGAGATGAATCGCTCAGAAAAGCGGGAGTCAGACCTCCTAAGATGTTCTCAGGCTATGATCAAGGCCTTGAGAGAGCAAGGAATGGTTCCCAGGATGACTGTAAGGGTGACAGGGACCCCCTCTGACGGATTATTTCGGGATGTCTCCGCCTCCACCTCGGGAAGGACGCGTTATTAGTTCTTTAGAGAAAGGCGGGCCCTCAGGGCGAGTCACTCTCTAGGGCAGAGTATGAACCCATAGGGGACTGTCTCTCTCCCCACCCACGACAGGGGCGGGGCTCTGACACCGAGTCAATTTCCCTTGCTGTGGGAGGCCAGCCCAGCCCGAAGGGAGATCGGGGAGGCCCGCCGCCCCTCGTACCTGCGCGCTGCAGCGTCTCCTTCCCGATCTCCAGGTACCTGCGCAGCCACTCCACGCACCTTCCAAGTAGTTCCTTTGACTCTTCGCTTCACGGCCCACCTCCCACTTGCGCCGGGCGATCTGAGCCGACGTGTCCGCCGCGGTCCAGGAGCTCAGGTCCTCGTTCAGGGTAAGGTAATCGGTGCCGTCGTAGGCTAACTGGAAATACCCGCGTAGGAGGCACCCGTTCGGCGCCAGGTCGCATCCACACATCTTCTGGAGGGTGTGAGACTCTAGCCCCGCCCCGTAGGTCAGCCCCGCCCACAGAGTCCCGCCCCGCCACCCGCAGTGCCTGAGAGTAAACTGAAAATGAAACCGGGTAAAGGTCCCTGCGGTGTCTTCCCTGGCAGGGGGCCAGGCGCGTCCTGCAGCCTGGGGGCGACCTCAGCCGGACTTGGGGAGGGGTCATGCCCTGTACCCGGGCCCGCGTCGCTCACCGGCCGCGCTCTGGTTGTAGTAGCTGCGCAGGTTGTTTAGCCCCACTCGGAAATTCTGTTCGTGACCCTTGGCGATCCGCGTCTCCCGGTCCCAATACTCCGGCGCCTCCTGCTCCACCCACCGCGCGAGCGGCTCCATCCTCGCACTCGCGGCATTGCTGTCGAACCTCACAAACTGCGTGTCGTCCACGTAACCCACAGCGACGAAGCGGGGCCCCCTGCGGCCGGGCCGGGACACGGCGGTACCGAAATACCTCAGGGAGTGGGAGCCTGCGGGCGCGGAGGGGCTGAGACCTCCCCGCGCGAGTCCCGGGTCCCAGTGGGTGGGGTCTGGCGGGGAGGGGCTCGGGGCTCGGGAGACCCGACGGGGGGTAGAGGCGGGTGCCGGGGAGGGACGAGGGAACAGAGGGGGGATAGAGCGGTGCGGAGGTTGGGGACGGGCCGTGGGGCGGCGTAGAAGCGCCTTCCCCGGGCGTCCTGCGCCCCCTTCTGGGCGGTCCCCTCGCTCCTCCCCGCAGAGACTCCGCACTCACCCCCCCTCCAAGTCTGGGTCAGGGCCAGGGCCCCCGACAGCAGCAGGAGGAGAGCTCGGGGTGTCATGGCCCAGACCCTCGTCTTGTGGGGAGAAGCTTAGTCCCACCGGGTCCGTGGAGACTTCCTAATCCAACGGCGGTGACGCTGATTGGCTTGTCTGGAAACCGGACACGCAATGGGAGTGCGAAGGGGCCTCGCGTCACTAGCATCCAGGCGGGAGGACCTGACACAGGTTGTGAGCGGCAGAAGTGAAACCCTGGGGTTTGGGCTTGTATTTTATGCGGGTTGCATCTGTCAGGATTACTATAGTAGGAATTAAACAGTTAAAGAAATTTTATTAATTCATTTGAGGTAATATCTAGAACTCATTGCATGTTAACAAATGTTTTTGTGAAAAATAACTGTTTTCCCAGATTAACACAGTAGTGAGAAGAGTGGATCTGTTTACGTTTTACATTTTTGCAAGTCTGTCGTCTGTTTCATTAGATTTATGTATGTTTATATTTGCATCTGCATTTAATTTGTTACTTTGATTGAAATATATGGAAAATATACAATCTCACTCAAATATGTAAAAGTAGTTTTAATAACCTTTTCAAATAATTGTTGATATTCATTTTTGACACTAAGTTAGAATATACAAGTCCTTCTTTCTCAAAGGTTATTTGCAAAGTGGAACCTGAAACAGTATCATTAAGTATTTCCTTTTATATTAAAATCCATAGGCATACCTTGCACATTGAGTGTATCTTCTACTAATGCATGATTATTTTGAAGTAGTGTGTTGTTTCACTAAGTTATGTAGATCTGCCAGTGTTGATGATAGTGGAATCAAATTATTAAAAAAATCACATTTGTCTCATGTTACCACAGATCCCAATAGAAAAGTGTGTCAGTACTGAGAAGCTGTCAGGCTTACTGGTGGGACACAAGTTTTGCAAAATTTTGAGTTTTTTCTTTAGTGTACATTTTATCAAGGCAACAAGTGCTGTTCAGTTGTCATCTGTAAGTTGATTTTCTTGAAGGGACAGGCCGGTGTTCATTTTCAAGGAAGTGTCCACTAAATATCCAAGTCTTAATAATTACAGTTTCTGTGTTGTTCCTTCCTTCAGATAAATGGTATCCCATTAAAAAAGAAGCTTGTTTCATCTGTACAGATTGTTTTCCTTGGGACATAGTACTTTGGAATGTAGCAGAAGTGCTTTATGTGTACATCCCACATCACATAAAATTTGAAAATACAGATTTGAGTATAATTTAGTAAAGATAACTTTTAATGCTTTAACCAGGACATTTTAAAGTGAAACTTTATTTTTGTTTTTCAATGCAAGTAAGTGGGGGTGAAGAATAACCAGCATTTGCAGTTTTGACCCATAGCCTCCATTTGTGCTCAGTTTACCTCGGTGCAAATGCCAACATAGTGAAAAGACAAAGCCTAAGTAATACTATGAGAATAGTTTTAACCTCATGGATTCCATGAAAGGGTGCCAGTGAGTTCAAGGGGTCCACAGACCATACTTTGAGAACTGCTGTTCTTGATAAACCAGGGAGTCTCCCACTGGCCACCACCTGAGCCTCCTCTTCCCTGACCAGCATTCCTTTCCCTGAGCTGGACTCCCTGCCCTCCAGCTTAGTTTAGAGCTTTGCCCTCCCTGGGCACCTCCAGAGGAGAGCTTACCTGTTGATGCCAGGGAGGATTCTCAGCTTGGGAAAGGAGATGGAGGGACTTGGAAACACTTTATGTTTGAAGACACCAGACTTACTGATAACCTCCTTTGGTTTTGTTCTCCACCAGCTTAATATGTATTCATATTCCAGAGAGAAGTCTGACAGTCTGTTAGTGACACAATATTGGCCTTTTCATTTTTTTTATTAAGGTTTCGTTAATATACAATCTTATGCTCAGGTTTCACATGAGCAACATTGTGGTTACTACATTCCCCTCTATTATCAAGTCCTCACCACATACCCCATTACAGTCGCTGTCCATCAGCATAGTAAGATGCTATAGAGTCACTACTTGCCTTCTCTGTGCTGTACTGCCTTCCTCATGCCCCCCCTATATTATGTGTGCTAATGATAATACCCCTTAATCCCATTATCCCTCCCTTCCCACCCATCCTCCCCAGCCCCTTTCCCTTTGGTAACTGTTAGTCCATTCTTGGGTTCTGTGAGTATGCTGCTGTTTTGTTCCTTCAGTTTTTGCTTTGTTGTTATATTCCACAGATGAGTGAAATCATTTGGTACTTGTCTTTCTCCACCTGGCTTATTTCACTGAGCATAATACCCTCTAGCTCCATCCATGTTGTTGCAAATGGTAGGATTTGTTTTTTTCCTATGGCTGAATGATATTCCACTGTGTATATATACCACATCTTCTTTATCCATTCATCTACTGATGGACACTTAGGTTGCTTCCATATCTTGGCTATTGTAAATACTGCTGCAATAAACATAGGGGTGCATATGTCTTTTGAATCTGAGAACTTGTATTATTTGGGTAAATTCCAAGCAGTGGGATTCCTGGGTTAAATGGTATTTCTATTTTTAGTTTTTTGAGGGACCTCCATATTGCTTTCCACAATGGTTGAAGTAATTTACATTCCCACCAGCAGTGTAGGAGGGTTTCCCTTTCTCTGCATCCTCACCAGCATTTGTTGTTTCTTGTCTTTTGGATGTTGGCCATCCTAACTGGTGTGAGGTGATATCTCATTGTGGTTTTAATTTTCATTTATCTGATGATTAATGATGTGAAGCATTTTTCATGTGCCTGTTGAATTGGCCCTTTCGTTTTGCATGGCCCTAATACATCTGACTTGAGGCCCACAAAGCATGAAGAGCAGTCTTGCCCCATAGAACGTTCTGAGGTGAAGGAATTGTTCTGTATCTGCACTGACCACAGGGTAACCACTGTGGCTATTGAGCACTTGAAATGTGGCTAATGCTTGTGCACTAAGCAGCTGAATTTTTAATTGTATTTATTTAATGAGAATTCAAATAACCATATGGTTGGTAGCTGCCATATAGTGCATATCTAGAATGTTCTTAGTGGTCAGTCTCTTCCTTCAAAGAAGATACTGCATAAATCAAAGCTTGATAGATACTGAAATATCTTCACATGGAAGTCATGGATTTATCTAACATATTTCTATATAAATCCTTAAAATACATGCCTATGAAAGTTTAATTAAGATGCATTTTACCAACTACAGTGTACAGACATCAGCCAAACATGATTTATCACATCTAGGACATAAGTGTTAAAAAATGCCCATCGTGGAGCTAATGCTTGTGTTTATTGGGACTCTTGGTGCTGTTTTCGTTAACCTGCTGAAACTAAGCAGGCCCGTAAGACTTCACCCAGCTCAAGAGAGGGTATTTATTGAACACAACATATGTCTAATACTTTGTAGGCTCTGTAGACATACTTGTAATGGTATCAAGCAGAAGATGTAAATCTTAGAATTCTGTACCTTAAATTCTTAACCTATTGCTCCTCCCCTTTCTTTCCTCCAAATTTAACCAGTTCTGTTTCCTTTCACCCTTGGAGCCTCTTCCTCTTTATTTCTATTGGATGAAAATAAACATGAAAATTTTATGCTTATGGAATAAAGAATTCTCTAAGAATGAACCTAAGATGAAACACCATAAAGAAAAAGATAAAATTTCTGTATGTCAACCACACACTCACAAAGATACAAATCACACCCATAATCAAACTAAAAGACATGTAAAAAAATGTTGACAAACAAATGAGTGACATGCTTCAATGTTCATCACTGAGACCACTAGGAGACATGTTGGATTTATTACTTGCAGTCCTGCAGACAGCACAGCAAGGGACCTCAGGAGTCTTAGTGTAAAGGTATTGGAACATCTACAGGATTTGGGCTTTGGATGGGTGATTTGGGGCTGGTTTGTGGAAGATGGGGCTCACTCCAGATTGGGTGCTGTCCAGAAGAAGAGGAAGTTCTCTGGGCATCTCAATAGAGCTTAATGTAGACAGGGCTGACTAGAGCGAACATAAATCGGTATCTGTCAAATACAGCCATTGCTCATGTCGTTCAGCACCAGGGAGATGTCCAGTATTTTGTGGACTGCACAGTGTGTTAGTTTTTATGTATGCTTAGACAAAACAATGTAGTGGTAGTGTTTTGTCTCACTTTGTTGAGGTCTCAGAGTGTTCTGGTCTGATGTTAATGCTCTGTGAGATGATTTATGTCCCACAGGAGAATGACATGGGCAAGGGGTGGGCATCAGGCCATCTTCTAATGAACTGTGTCAGATCAGTTCTTGATACTGGGGACTGCCTTGTCTTTTTCCTTAAATTCAATATTTTAAATTAACTACAACCTAACCAAAAATAATTAAACTATGTTTACTTACTAGAAAACAATTGGGAAAAGAAGAAATAAAATGTCAAATAAATATATTAGTAGTAAATAGATATAAACAAAACTGAAAATGTGGAATAAGAAATGAGGATAAAAATTAAAATCTTTTAGCTTGGCAAAGATGAAAGTAAGTGATGAAAGTAAAAGGGTAGGGAAAATATGCTGTCATAAAAAGTGAAAGGATTGAAAATGGGTATGACATTTCTAAAGGGCAACTTTGCAAAATGTCTCAACAATTAAATGTGCTGACAATTTAACACAAATTCTATTTTAGGAATTAATCCTAAGCAGATAATCACACATTTTCTCAAAAGTATATATTCAAGAATGTTTCTTGAATTATCATTTATAAAAGCAAAGAATGGAACTTATATTAGTGCTATAATCAGTGTACTGATGGTAACTATGAATAATGGATCACTTACTATGACTCAGGGATCAATACCATGTGATTTTCATAGAGTGTCAAATATTTTTTTAAATTAGCTATGTTTTTATTACTAAATACATATGTTTATTGCTAGGGAATGTGCATCCACAAATATGTATGATATATTTAATTTTTACAAAAAAATTATACACATTGCTGGATAGAAAAGGGTATGAAAAGACTATTAATTGTCTCTAAGATAAATACTTAAAAATTTCTTTTGATTATATATGGTTTTTTCCTGTAATGAATTACTTTTGTAACAACAGAAGATCTTAAAAACAATTCCCAGCAATAAAAGTATAAACAGATTAAAAATTCCTATTAGCAACACTTTTCTTTCCTTTAGAGGGTCAAATTTAATCACCCAGGCAAACCCCCTGAGGCACCCAGCATGTGACCCCTTTGTACAGACAGGGACAGGAAGACTCACAGAGGCTTAGGAGGTGGTGGAGCAGGGATTGAACCCTGAGGGGTTTTCTCTCAGAGGCCTTGTTGATGCATCTCCCCTTGGTTCCTTGTCTATCAGGTGGTGGGTATGATCTGCACTCCACACAAGTGAACTCTTGGAATGTTCCAGAATGTTCTGTGACAGGAGACCACTAGGCTCAGAGCTCAGGAGGACTTCAATGGCAATGTGACTTTCCTACTCAAACCACAGTAAATCCATCTTGCAGCATATATTTCAAGGCCTCCAGTGGATCCAGATCAGCCAGACTCTGGAGGTAAAGCAATGAGCAAGAGTAAGACCCTGGCCATGTGACACCAGCACTGTCCCGAGGGAGACAGGCACTGAGCAGAAATGCCGAAGATGAACGTGAATCACCACTGAGCTGAGTGCTGTGAGGACCGAGTTCATGAGCATGAAAGCAGACAGCAGGAAACCCAACAGGCCCTGACCACTGTATCAACAACATCTACAGGATGTAAAGATATATGGCATAGGAAACAAAAGAATCATATAAAACTATATACAATCATAGAACAAGCAGGAGCTCTTGGAAATTAAAAATTATTCACAGAAATGAATAATTCAGTGGATGACTTGGAAGATTAAAGCTGCAGTTCCCCTAAGTAGTACAAATGGGAAAGTGATGGCAAGCAGGAGAGAAGACCTATAGCCCTATCAGTCATGGGATTCCAATGAGTTCATGATGTAACTTCAAAAAAATGTAGAGTAGTAAATGATAAAGAACAATTTCAAGAATACTTCTCAGAGTTTACAGGTACAAATTCATATTTTGAAAGGCCTAACCAACTTCTCACTACAGTAGATGAAATCTGACTCACACCAACAAATCACAGTGGAATTTCAGAAAGCAGGTGGAGAAGAAGAGACCTGGAAAACTTCAAAAGGCAACAAACACAGGCCTGGAGGCTGGGAGACACTGAAGCAATGCCTCCAAATCCTGAGGAAAAGTATTTCCAACACAGATTCTATATGAAGTCACTGTGAATAAGGAGGAATGTGGCCTAAAGACACTTCAGATGTTTAGAGGTTCAGTCATTTACTTTCCATACTCCTTTCTCAGGATACTACTAGGCAAAGTGGGGTAAAATGATAGGGAAAACCAATAAAGAGGAACACATGGGATCCAGGCAACAGGGGAGCCAGCTCGACAAAGGCACCCGCCACCCAGGACAAGGTGCAGGAGATGGGATGTGAGCCCCGTGCAGGTGCGCAGCATCCAGTCCACGACGGTGCTGAGCACTGAGGCCCAGGGGTGTGCCAAGACATGAAGGCCATAGAATCCCTGATGCACTCAAATATATTCACCCAGATTTACCCTGGGGAGTTTGGGAATGATTTAAAACAAATATAACAGAAACTAAGCAACTGAAGGAACAAGATATTTATATACTCCAGGAAAAATAAAAAGTTGTTTCAAGAAAAGTTGTTCTAGTCTACTTAGTGCTCCACTGTGACTAGCATTCTGTGAGCATAATAGCGCAGGCTCTGCACATTGGGCTAATCAAAATGATAAAAAAAAATTATATTGGGAGGATGGTTGTATGTGAAAGAAGAACTAACTAAAGAAGGTGCATAAAACTGAAAAACATAGTATTATAAACATCAAAGAATCTGCTAGGAGAGTTAAGACAGGCTACTTCTGGAATTTAGGCAATAGGGTCAGGGGATGTCTGTCTTCATAAGAAGGCTTATAGAAGTATCAGAATTTAAACTCTGTGCACTATTCCATTGGGTAAAAAGCCCAGTAGTTGAGAAAATAGACTCAGTCTTGGTCTAGGAGTGCCATAGAAATAGGGCAATAGATGGAAGGAGATTTGGGATGGAGTAGTGGTTTTTTATGCAAGGATTTTATTTTGATTTATTTACTTGACTTTTATTTTTTGAATGGGGGGATTACATCATATTTGTAGAAGGAACGAAGGAGCCAGTGGAAGGGGGGGATAAATGGGGCGCAGGCATGGGGACCGACCGTGGGCCTGAACTGAGGGCACCTTAGATAGGAGTGGGACATCCCAGTCACTGGTGGGAAAATGAAAGAGGTACAGACGTCTCCTGGGGTGCAGTTCTCACGTGAGTCCTTCTTTTCTGCCTGAAAATAGAAATAAGCCCCTCACCTCAGAGTGGGGAGTGGGAAGACATGAGGGGGCTTAGGAGGGATGAGGAAGGAGAAGAGGCCTCTCAGGGGAGTGGACTCAGGAAATGGCATCTGGAGAGCAGGGCTGGGCCTGGCTCTGTGCCCAGCAACTTAGAGAGGGGAGGTTTCTGTTCTGGGGCAGCAGCCAGACAATGTGTGAGACATTAGGAGAAATGCAGCAAATATCTCCACTGTGAAGAATAGTTATTGTATTTTGTCATTTATCAATTTTAACATTTCATAATTTTTCTACAGTAAATATTCATTACATAAAATATGTTATACAATATACAAAAACATTAATGAGAAATGTTTAAATTTTAAAAGGGAAGGCAGATGGGTAGAAAAGTCAGGGGTCAAACCCAGAGGTGGAAGGGCTGAGCCTGCACACCTGTGCTCTGGGCAATGACCTTCCCAAGGCTTTTCTCCCTCTCTCAGGATGCTGGGCTCTGTGGAGGACAAGCAAGAGCTTCCCCATCTTTTGGAGTGTGGTCTTTTATTAGTATCTTGTTGGCTCTTTCATGCTTTAGACATGGTTTTGCTGTTTTACATGGCATTTTAAGCTATTTTAGTGGGATAATTTGTCCATACAATCTAGCCCACCTTTTCCAGAAACAGAAATTCTAAGGCAAAATAGTTCCATGAAAAAGTGATGGACCCAGAGTACAGGATCAGAATCTCCATATTCACAGATGATGTCAAGTGTTTAACAAGACTTTACAAGAGTAACAATTTTAATGTAATTAATTTTTGTGAAGGTTATTCATGCTCATTCAAACAATACTTCAGATTATACAAAATAAATGTCACATCATCCCCCTATACCCCAGTCACCCAGGTCATCCCCCCATAAACCATTTCAGTTAGCACTTTTTCATTTCTTTGCCCAGAAAAATATAACTATGCTTATATCTAGGCATTAGTTTACATTGTTATCTCAGTAAAAAAGCTCAGGTCTCAGACTGGGAGAAAATGATTGGAAGTCACTTATTTAATAAAGGACTTGTTTTTAAAATACAAAGAACCTTGAAAATTCAACAATAAGAAAATAAGTAATTTAATTAAAAAATGAGAAGTCTGACAGATACCTCACAGAAGGAGATTTGCAGATTGCAGATAAGCACATGAAAAGATGCTCCACATCATGTGTTACTAGGCAAATGCAAATGAAAACAACTGTGGAATGCCATCACACACTTATTAGAATAATGGAAATCCCCAAACTGGGAATGCCAAGTGCTGACCAGGATGTGGAGCAAGAGAATCTCACCCATTGCTGAGGAACTCAGAACAGCACAGCCTCTCTGGAAGATAGTGGTTTCTTATAAAGCTAAACATAGACTCACTAGTGATAACTCTCCTAGGTATTTACCTAACTCAGTTGAGACTTAATGTTTGCACAAAAACCTGCACAAGGGTGTTTATAGCAGAAAATCCCTTAAGTGTGGGCTGTATGTGCATGGTGACTTCCTTCCAAAGACTACAATATGGTAAGTGGGGGTGTAAAAACAGAACTTCTTCATGGGGAGACCTGGAATTCTCAGCCTCAGCTGGGTGACGAGGTTAATTTAACATCACATGTGATGATCTAGTGGTTATCATATACCCTTTTATGCAGTGTTGAGACGGCACTTCATCTCTGCGGTTTCTTCTCCCAAACCCACTGCCCCAGTCAACCAAACGCAAACTGAGAGACAGTCTACCGTACACCTGAGCAGTACTCCTCAAAATGTCAAGGTCATCAGAAACAAGGAATGCCTGAGACACTGTCACAGCCAAGGAGCCTGAAGGAGACTGACTGGGACTTAACCTAATGTGGTGACTTGGACGGGATCCTGGAACAGAAAAGAAACACTATTGAAATCTAAATAAAGTGTGGAGTTAGTAATAATGTATCACTGTTTCTTCATTAGCTGTGACAAGGGTCTGATGGGGATATAGATGTTAACAACAGGGACACTGAATTGGGATACTGTACTAACTTTACACTTCTCTTAAATCTCAAAGTATCTGAAATTTTAGAAAGTGTTTTTTAAAATCGCCCTCAGAAAGGAATAGGTTGTGGAAGAAAAAATGATATACTTTTCTATTTTCTAAGAGAGTGTCATCAAGGGCCAGAGAGAGGGCTGTGGGAAGGAAAGACAGGAACCTCAGACACAGGCGGGCTCTAGGGCGCTCCTCCCCTCCGGTCGCCGCCCCGCCCTCGCGCCTGAGCCCAGGGCTGCCCAGGAGCATCTTCATCCCCACGTTGCCCGGCCTCCAGGTCACCCACCTCTGCCTGACAGCACAGTGCGGCCCTCGCGTCGGGCAGCGCAGAATCGGAGAGAGCTCTGGCGCCCCCGTGTGGCCGCAGGGCTGAGGACAGGCCGGAGCGCCCTTGGTCCTTCCCCAGCGACCTCCCCAGGTCTCCGTGAGCCGCCAGCAGTGGGACAGGGCTGTGCACACAGTGGGGAACCTCCATCCAGTGTCAGGTTCAGAGGCTGAATTGTTTCCCAAAATACATGGTGACACAGATTTTTCTTCCTCCTTTAACGACCACGAGCAAACGGGCCATAACAGTTAGTACCCAGATTTTGGATGGACCTCACAAACACCCTGGGTGCCCTTAGTCTCCTGGGATGGGACCTTGAAACCCAGAGTACCTTGTAGCTTGTTCCTGCTGCAGCTTCCAGGGAGGAAATCTCCTCCAGGGAATCAAGTCCCGACCCTCTATTCTAGGGTGTGAAAGAGGAGTAAGAAGAGGGAGGAGAGCCCTAGGGTCATGGCCCGGGAAGACGGTGAAGCTCCTGGAGAAGTGAGGAGAGGAAGGAGATGTGACTGTCGGGGGAAGAGGGCCTACAGGAGTGCAGGGGGAGGAAGCAGAGAGGAGAGGGGCTGGGGAGGGGTCGGCTCAGTGGACACCTGTGTGGGGGACGGGTTCTGTGTGGGGAGAGGCACAGGGGCTGCTGGCTGGGTGCTGCGAGAGGTCTCTGTGGTCACCTGATTCTGATCACACAGTACACAGGCCCAGCTCTGTAACTGCTGGTGAACTGTACTAACTTTAGGGATATTTCTATACTTACATGTATGATATAACGCAACCACAGGCAGAGGAAAGGGAAAAGAAAAGGAGAGAAGAGAGGTGACTGAGGAGATTCACCTCTTGCAGAGCAAGGATCCCTCCGTCTTGGGCTGGGGTGGCCAAGAGCACCACGGAGCACGGAGGAGGGAGGGCCTGACCACTGGAGGGGGCAGCCTGGGCCCTGATCCTGGGTTTCTAGATTCCCACTCTGAGCACTATGACTTCAAAGCCGTGTCCGAGTCCATCCCCGGCTCACAGTCCTCTACCACCTGGACACCCTCTCTACTTGCTATGATAGGTGGGAACCACTGCACCAAAAAGACCATCCCTGGGCCTCAGACAGGGAGTGCCAAGTGCTGACCAGGATGTGGAGCAAGAGAATCTCACCCATTGCTGAGGAACTCAGAACAGCACAGCCTCTCTGGAAGATAGTGGTTTCTTATAAAGCTAAACATAGACTCACTAGTGATAACTCTCCTAGGTATTTACCTAACTCAGTTGAGACTTATGTTTGCACAAAAACCTGCACAAGGGTGTTTATAGCAGAAAATCCCTTAAGTGTGGGCTGTATGTGCATGGTGACTTCCTTCCAAAGACTACAATATGGTAAGTGGGGGTGTAAAAACAGAACTTCTTCATGGGGAGACCTGGAATTCTCAGCCTCAGCTGGGTGACGAGGTTAATTTAACATCACATGTGATGATCTAGTGGTTATCATATACCCTTTTATGCAGTGTTGAGACGGCACTTCATCTCTGCGGTTTCTTCTCCCAAACCCACTGCCCCAGTCAACCAAACGCAAACTGAGAGACAGTCTACCGTACACCTGAGCAGTACTCCTCAAAATGTCAAGGTCATCAGAAACAAGGAATGCCTGAGACACTGTCACAGCCAAGGAGCCTGAAGGAGACTGACTGGGACTTAACCTAATGTGGTGACTTGGACGGGATCCTGGAACAGAAAAGAAACACTATTGAAATCTAAATAAAGTGTGGAGTTAGTAATAATGTATCACTGTTTCTTCATTAGCTGTGACAAGGGTCTGATGGGGATATAGATGTTAACAACAGGGACACTGAATTGGGATACTGTACTAACTTTACACTTCTCTTAAATCTCAAAGTATCTGAAATTTTAGAAAGTGTTTTTTAAAATCGCCCTCAGAAAGGAATAGGTTGTGGAAGAAAAAATGATATACTTTTCTATTTTCTAAGAGAGTGTC